GATGATGGGCTCGAGTATAGCAGGGATTGTGGGGCTGGTGCGGGATCGGGCAGTGTTTCGTTCTGCTGTGCATGGGGTCGCTATGAGTCGGAAACGACTCAACGGCACTTAACAACAACAACCATTTGGTTTTAAGAAGACTTCAAGGGGTAGCTGTGGTTTAAGGTTTAAAGACTTTTCAGGGCAACAGCTTTGGGGCTTTATTCAGCCCCCTTGCTTCCAGAAAGGTTTGAGTCCACGAAAATTTGAAATTCTGTTCTGCATTTCCTCCCTTTTGATTAAGATTTTCTTTTTTAGAATTTGTGATCAAAATGTTTAATAATGGCAGCTGAGTACCATTCAGTTCTTCTGGTCTTGTGCAAAGGAGGAAGCTGTTCATGGAGGCAATTAACCATGCATTCCGTTTCCTCCTCCTATTCCTGACTCTCCTTCTTCCTCTTTTGTTCCAGGCGAACAGAGATTATAGTATCTTGGATGGTCACATGCAAGCTTTTAAGACCCCAGGCACTATGCAGCAAACTAGGAGGTAGAATAGAAGGATTATAAACTTTATTAGGCCAATTAACTGGGATGTCCGATGAAACCACGACCCTAATCTCCACAGCAAAAAACCAAATTTCATGAGGTATGTGTTTATACATAAGCAGCCACAGTAGGTACTCCTTTTTCTTCCTTGTGGTAAATACGTGTCACACCTTTTGCCAATTCAACTTCTACAGGTGTACAACTTGATAGCACTTACATAATTAGCTCTGCAACCCTATCCTTAATGTGATTTTTATATCAGTGTAAAATGAAACTCAGTACTCTATAAGCAGTAACTCCCCATTCCCCATTCCCTCCCACCCCTGGTAATCAATAATAAATTTTGGTCTCTGTACGTTTACTTGTTCTTGTCTTCTTAGAAAAATGAGGTTATATGATATTCGTCCTTTTGTGATTGGCTTATTTCACTCAGCATCATGTCTTCAAGTTCCATCCATATTGTAGCATGTATCAAGACTTCATTTCTCTTTCTAGCTGTATAGTATTTCGTGTGCCTGAATGAATGAATGAATAAATACATAAATACCACATTTTGTTTATCCATTCATGCATTGACAGGCATTTAGGATGGTTCCACCTTCTGGCTACTGTGAATAATGCTGCTGTGAACGAACACTAGTGATTGGTGTACAAATCTCTTGAGTATCTGTTTTCAAATCTTTTAGGTGTATGCTGAGGACTGGACTTTCTGGTCATAATGATAGTTTCAATTTTTTTGAGGAACTGCCACACTGTTTAACACGATGGCTGTACCATTTTTCATTCCCACTAGCAATGCATAAGAGTTCCAATTTCCCCACATTCTTGATAATATTTGTTATTTCCTGTATTTTTCTTTTCTTTTTTTTTTTAAATCTTACTAATCCTATGGGATTGAAATGGCATCTCATTCTGGTTTTGATTTGCATCTCTCTGATGGCTAATGACATTGAGCATTTTTTCATGTATCTGGTGGTCATTTAAATGTTGTCTTTTATGAAATGTCTATAAAAGTCCTTTCCCCATTTTGATGGTGTTGTCTTTTTGTTGTCAACCTGTTGGAATTTCATATATATTTTTGTTATTAAATTCTTTTGGATATAATTTTAAAAAATAGTCTCCCAGTAGGTAGCTTGTCTTTTCACTTTTTTGATAAAGTCTGTTGTTGAACAAAAGTTTTTAATTTTTATAAGATCTTTTTTGTTTCACTCTGTGTTTTTATTATTTATTAGATAATCCATTGTTGAAAGGTTGGCCTGAGAGAGTTGCTGCTGCATTTTCTTTTGTTAATTTTATGGTTTGCACATTTAGGTTCTTAATCAATCCATTTTGAATTTGTTTTTGTGTATGGGGTAAGGCATTGGGTTCTATTTCATTTTTTTTTTTTTTTTTTTGCGTGTGGAACTTCAATTTCCCCAGCACCAATTTATTGAAGAGATTTTTTTTTTCCCATTGGATGGACTTAACATTCTTGTAAAAAATCAGTTGACCACAGATGTGTGGGTTTATTTCTGGACTCTTAATTCTATTTCCTGGGTTATGTCTATTATTAAAACAGTACCAGGCTGTTTTGATTCCTGTAGCTGCATATGTTTTAAAGTGAGGAAGTGTGAATCCTATTTTGTTCCTCTCTTTCAACATTGCTTTAGCTCTTTGGGGTCTCCTGTCATTCCATATAAAGTTGAGGATTGGTTTTTCCATTTCTATAAAGAAAACTGTTAGAATTTTGATTGGGATTGTGTTGAATCTATAGATCACTTTGGATAGTATTGACATCTTGCAATATTAAGTGCTCTAATCTATGAACATGGAACATCTTTCCATTTATTTTTCTTTAATTTCTTTCAACAGTGCTACTTTACATTTTTAGTGATCTTTTTATGTAGATGTGGCTTTTATCACCAAATATAGGGTGAGCTCTTGAAAGCAGTGCACTTAGGTGTATATTAAACTATTCATTCACTCATTTAACAAACATTTAATAAGTACCTATTATGTGCTAGGTATTGTGCTAAGTGCTAAAGATATAAAAAAGGAACCAGCTAAGATCCTTCAAGAGTTTATATAACACAGTGAGGAAGATGGACATGTAAATCAGTAATTATAAAGCAAGATGGTAAGTGCTGAGCTGAAGAATCTGTACTTTACAGAACAAAGAGGAGTGAATGATTAGTTCTGCTAAGGGTGGGGAGGAAACAGACAGGAGAAGACACACTGGAAAGGACGTTACAGAGAAGGTGACATCTTAGCTGCATAGGCAGTAAGAAAGCGGACAAAACAGGTGAGGAGCCTTGAGGGTGATACTGCTCCCAGAATATTCCTTTCCTAGTGTAGCAGAGTGCCTAGCACATAGGAGGCATTAAATCTTCTGATTTAGTGTTCTGAAATATTTTGGAAGGAGACTACACAATGCATAATTATATTTATATAAATAATACAAGGTGGAATCTTCAAATAAGATTAAACCAACCAAAAAAACAAACCAAAAGCTACTACCCTAAAGTTGATTCTGAACGCATAGCAATGGTATAGGACAGAGCAGAACTGCCCCGTAAGATTCCCAAGGCTGTAAATCATTATGGAAACAGCCTGCTTCATCTTTCTCCCATGGAGTGGCTGGTGGATTCAAAGTTTAACCACTGCACCATCAGAGCTCCTGTCAAGATTAAACAGTATAATAAGATAACTGATGTAAGGAGTCAAATGATATTTGGTATTTGGGTACAGCAGTTTCCAATTACCTGTCTAATTCTGTATTTCTGCCACAGGTGTCCTGGCATGTCATTCTTGAAGTGCTTTAGTTAAAATAGTTATCTTCTTGATTTCAGCTAAATATGAAGCCTTATTTTTCTTTTCTGGAATTTATAGGAAACACTATGGTAGCATAGTGCCTAAGGCACTTGACTGCTAACCACAAGGCTGCTGGTTCAAACCCACCAGCCACTCCTCGGAAGGAAGGTTGGGCAATCTACTTCCGTAGTGATACCACCTGGGAAACCCAAGGAGGGGCCGCTATGAGTCAAGTCTGACTCGACGGCACACAACAACAAAACAACAATGAAGTGGGTACTATTACTATTATCCTCATTTCACTGATTAGGGCACTGCAAAAGTATTTGGGAGGGCCAAGAGTTGGTGTGATTCCAGTGACTACATTCTTAATCAATAATGTATGCTCTAAATTAGAATCTCTAGCAGTATAGTGGGTAAGATAGAAGGTCAGCAATTCAAATCCACCAGCTACTTCATAGGAAGAAGATGAGGCAATCTACTTCCATGAAGATTTACAGCCTTGGGAAGTCCAGTGGGGGTCACTATGAGTCGGAATCAACCTGATGGTAGTGGGTTTGGTCTTTGGTATGCTCTAAAGGCAGTAAGTGTTAATACTCATGTCAGATTTAAGAATTTCTAGCAATCACCCCAAATACTGTAACTTCAGTACCTTCTTCATCATAGTTAGACATATCATCTGCAATCATATTTCCAAAATCTAGTAGAAGATTCCAAGTGTCCCTTGGGATTGATCTTTTATGATGTTCCTAATACATAAGAGGAAAAAAAAAACACACCAATTTAAGACACAAAGTTTAACTTAAATATTCTAGTAGGCTTTATTATATAACTTGATGAAGAATAAGTGTAATAACAAAATTGTTAAAATTTAAAAGTATAATAGTGATTTGGATAAACTGGGTACAATGCCAATGTGTAAATGTAGAAAGTACACTTATATAAAAACAAAATGAAATAATTTATAAAGCTTTATAAATTGAATTTATACAGCTAATCTTATAGATTTTATAAACACACACATGGCCTATTCTTGGCTTATATGCCTAAAATATAGGTTACTGACTCCAGATAAAGAATAAGAGAATCATGGGCACAAGATTATTAGCTTCTAAATATTTTTAAGAGATATAATATAGTATGGGAGCTCTGGTAGCATAGTGGCTAAGACACTTGCCTGCTAACCAGACGGCTGGCGGTTTAAACCCACCAGCCACTCCTAGGAAGGAAGGTTGGGCAATCCTACTTCCGTAGTGATACTGCCTTGGAAACCCAAGGAGGGGTTGCTATGAGTTGGGTTTGACTCGACAGCACATAACAACAACAACAACATAATATAGTACATGATTTAATGAAATTAACAGTGTTAAATGAACCTCCTCCTATTATGTATCTACAAAATGTTAAGTAACATTAAACCAAACAAACACGTATCTGTTGAGCTGATTCTAAGCCATGGTGACCCTATATGTTTCAGTACAGAATAGCACAGAGGGTTTTCGATGGCTGTAATCTAATGGAAGTAGACTGCCAGGCCTTTCTTCCATGGTGTTGCTGGCGGATCTGAACTACCAATCTTTAGGTCAGTAGTTGAGTGTAAACATGCACCATCCAAGGGCCTTCTAAATAATGCTAGCTTCCACAAACATCACTCAAACTTACACATTCTGCTGTGTTTAAAGTGACTTACTTACATTAATTATCAAATCTTCCCAACAACCCTATATGGTAACTATTATTTGCTCTATTTTACAGATTAGGAAACTAAGTCACAGGAAAGTTAAGTAACTTGCCCAAGGCCATAAAACTAGTAAGTGGTGGAGCAAAGTAGATATAATCTAACCAAAACCAAAACCATTGCTATTGAGTAGATTCTTTCTCACAGTGACTATACAGGACAGAGTAGAACTGCCCCATAGGATTTCCAAGGCTGTATATCTTTTTTTTTTTTGTGCAGAGCAGCTGGTGGGTTTGAACTGTCGACCTTTCATTTAACAATTGAGTGCTTTAACCACTGTGCAACCAGAGCTCTGACAGATGTTATCTATTACTATTAAATTAACGTAGGATTCTTACTCAACTTATGGCTTTTATGCTGTGTGACCAAATCCAAACCAAACTCACTGCCATGGAGTTGGTCCCAACTCATAGTGACCCCTCCTTGGGTTTCTGAAGCAGTATCTCTACAGAAGTAGATTGCCCAATCTTCCTTCTGAGGAGCGGCTGGTGGGTTTGAAGCTCCAGCCTTCTGGTTAGCAGTCAAATGCCTTAGGCATTATGCTACCAAAGCTTCTATTATGCTGTGTGAAGCACCTTATTTTACATTAAGAGTTTTCTTACTGAGACAGGACCCAGTATTATTGTATAAATTGTTTTAAGCTACCAATATCAGATGATTCTTAAAAAGGCCAAATAAGCCCATTTTCCTTCTGAACACTGTAAAATACATTTTTTTTTAAAATTTTATTTTGATTTGGGTGAAGATTTACAGAGTAAATTCACTTTTCATACAGCAGTTCACATATACTTTGTCTCATGACATTGACCAAAATTTACAA